TGAATGGGAAGCCCAACAGGAGAAACAGAGATAGACGTATTACCGGACCCTAGAATGGCTGGTCTTAAAACAGAGAGAGATATGGTCAGAATACTAGAAAAATGAAGAAAGGGAAATAGCTTATATAAGAATCCAATATTAAAATCCCGAAGAGAAAGTACTTATGGTACTGATATAAAACTTGCTGGAAATTATTCTTGGAGGTCAATCTGTTGTTCTCCTTGCTGAATAAATAATCTGGTCTTTAAGTAATGGTGAGGCATTTCTTAAAGTTGTTCCATATGAAATTGAAAAACAAAAAGAGACCAATAGTGTAACCCAATATATAAAGTGTTCTAGATAATGTAGTGTGTGTGTATGGGGGGCAATGTGTGTGTATGGGGGGGCTATAAGATAAGGTTTTGAGTGTAATAACCTCTGCTCTCGGATAAAACTGGAGCACCTTTAAAAATAATCTGTGGTTTCTTAAGAATTATATTTTTAAGCATGTCATCTTGCTATAGTATATGCCAATGCTTGTGTATTAATTTTTTTACAGTTTTGTTTTGTTATTAAAATCTAAAATTATAGGTAATGTAGAGTTATCATTCTTTGTTTTATTTTTATATGTTAAAAGGTTCTCCCTATGTTGATCAGTGTTAAATTGCTCTATTGATATGATCTAATTTTAAATTCTTTTCAATTAATTTTTTTTTCAATTCTGAGGCTTGTTCTTTATAGTTTCCCATAGTTAAGCAGTTCCTTCTAAGTCTTAAAAATTGGCTTTTAGGTATCCCACTAAGCCATGGAGTGTAATGGCAGCTGGACTGATCATTAAAAGCATTTGTGTAAACCTTTTCTGTTTACTTGCATATCCTGTATAAAAATGTGTAAATCTAAAAAAGTAATGCCCGGTCTACTACTATCCAAAGTTTAAAAAAAAATCATCTTTCATTGTTGTTAAGAAAGTTTAAAAATGCAGCACCCCAAAAAAAAAAGGTAATTGATATAACAGAAGTTCTTTTTTCATGCTTGTTGGCCCCATATTATTATTATTTTATTATTTATTTGGCGCCATCAGATTTTGTAGCGCTGTATAATAGGTAGACTAACAGACATGTAATTGTAAACAGACAACTGGACGTACAGGAACAGAGAGGTGGAGGGCCCTGCTCAATGAGCTTACATTCTAGAGGGAGTGGGGTATAGTGACATAAAGGGTAAAAGTAGGGGTATGAAGTAGGTTGTTAGAAAAGTATTCACTGAGGGCTTAGTAGGTAATTTTTAACAGTTGCAGGAGAGGAGTCAATCTGCTAACAGTTTAATTGATATTGTAACGGACCGTTTTGCACACAAGGGGTAAAACCCGTTTAGGCGATCGGCCCCCTTTCCAGAGATACAGGCACAGCTACTGCAGAACACCAAACTCCCGAACTGGACACAAAATAGCACTCCAACTCCCGAACTGGAACCTCCCAAATAGCTGCTAGCAGATGAACAGGAAAAGCAGACAATCAGCTTACACTCCTGGCAATCAGTCTCTAACAGCATACAGTGAATCCCCCCAAGAATGAGACAAGGCTCCGTGTTGAGGGTCAAGCAGTGGTCTGAGGTGCTGGCACACCCAGCCTGGTTTTTATTACAGTGTTTTCAAATACAGGACCGCCCACAGGGAAATATAAAACAACCAATCACATCACAGTTACATCCCACATATTCCCTCCCCTTATCCTGAGAGGAAACTCAATTACACATACAGTTAAAACATACTTTCTACCCAACTTTCATAACTCTAAAACCATACATCACATTCACATAAAATTACATATTCACAATCAATCCATTCAGGGGAACAACATATTAAAAAATGGCATGAATCAGACCAGGGGTTCAAAAGTTAGTAAAAAGTATCTTTTGTACCCTGGCTGGCAGCATGGCTATCTGGCTCAAACAGGTTTTACAGAGCCCTCTATCCTGGACAATGGGGAAAGTAATCCAATTATGCAGGGATAGAGGCAGACTCCATTGAGCACATGGGGACACAAAGACAGTAAAACACTTTAAAATACATCAGGTAAGACACCTTACATTAAAACTATACATTTAACATATCCCCAGATAGCTCAGGTCTGAGCGCACATTATTAAGTGAATGGCGCTCAGACCACACAAATACAGTTTAATCGCCATGGAGCCAAAGTCTTTACAGTCAGTTTCATACGAATGGGCTCCATGGGATTCCTATCTGGGGTATAACACATTCAAACAAATCTACCGAACCCCAGGCAGAAAAGCACGAATGAAGCTTTTCTGTAGGTAAAAAAAGATGTCTTTTAACAGGGGGCCATAGTCCAAAGGCAGCAGGCGAGCAACCAGGCTTCTCCAATGCAATGTGGCAAGATTGGTCTCGTCACAGATATGCTTTCTTGAAGAAGTGAGTTTTCAATGTTTTTTTTCGAATGAGTGGAGACTGGGTGAAATTCTTATAGAGGAGGGAAGGGAGTTCCACAGAAGAGGTGCAGTCCTGGAGAAATCTTGGAGGTGAGCATTAGAGGTGGGAGTACGGACAGAGGATATACGTAGGTCTTTGGCAGAGCGTAGGGGCCTCGACGGGACATACTTGTGTATTAGGGAGGATAGGTAGGTTGGAGCAGCATTATGTAGGGACTTGTAAGCAAGCACCAGAATTTTAAATTGAGCCCTATATCTAACTGAAAGCCAATGCAGGGACTGACAGAGCGGGGAGGCGTTGAAGGTACGAGCTGACAGGAAAATGAGCCTAGCCGCCGCATTCATTATAGATTGCAGTGGTGCAATCTGGGAATATGTAAGACCAATGAGAAGGGTATTGCAGTAACCAAGGCGAGAGAAAACAAGCGCATGGACAGTGGTTTCCCAATCTGCCATTAATACATTTGCATAGCTTGGTGCTAATCTGGTCCCAATCGCTGTACCTTGTTTTTGCAACTAAAAATAATTATTGTACCAAAAAACGTTTTTAGAAAGTATAAGATTAATGCCTTCGATAATAAAATCTATCTGAACGGCTGAAAGATTGTTTTTGTCCAATACATTTTTTTTTGACTGCTTTGCAGCCCAAGTCATTGTGTATGATTGTATAAAGTGATTGGACGTCACAGGTAGCTAAAATATAATCCGACTTCCTTGTCACTGCTTTAAGATATTGTAACAGTAACATAGCCTTTAAGTTTTGATCTCATTCTTTTAACAGATGGTTGACGCATTAGATCCACATTTTCAGAAAGATTACACACAAGTGAGTCTATCCCGGACACTATGTGTCTGCTAGTGTGAATTTCTTACTTTTGTGTATTTTGGCAAGAAATATACGACTGGTATAAT